CAGGCTCTTTTGCTTAACTGATTACATTCAAGCACGAGTGAAACTGCCGATAGCTTGTCTCTGCAAACAGCCTTCCTCTTATTGGTTTGTTCAGCATCAGCTGGCGTCAGTTACATCAGGCTCGTGATTAGAGGAAGTCTGTTTGGGAGACAAGCTATTTCACTTGTGATTGGAGGCTAGCAATAGGAAGAAGCCTCTCTGCAGAAACGAAGTTTGGCAGTTTTGCAACCGCGATTCTCGGCTGACTTCCTTGAATAAGAACCCCTTCAGTTTTTAGGGGAAGGATTTTAGAAAAAAGTATTGTCTTATAGTCGGAAAAATAAGGTATGTCTTTATAGTTCAACATAATGATCTCCTCAGCCTGCCATAGTATTACCAGTTCTGTAAGCATCTGGATCTGTTTTCACATAATACAGCATTTTAAATAAAGTGAAAGAGTTTTACATTTAAGCATCATTCTTATAGACCTGTTGATCTATTAAATTGGAAATCTTTATTTCAGCCCATTAGGATTAATGGTGTGAAAGTGTATACTGAAAATGTGGATAAAAGGCAGATCATTTTGGATCTACAAATCAGGTAATCTTGTCATAGTATACATATATTGTTTCTTTAAGTTTCCTAAAATTTATTCTTCATGGCAAAAATGTTGCGAAATGCTTACTTCTTGGAGAAAGAAATGTCTTTTAGCTCATTAAAAAAATAAACACACTAAATGTTAATGGGACCAGTATGCAACATTGAGCTGCTACCCAGAAATTAAACTAGCAGAAATGACACGCCACCATTCTATAGTACGACAGCAGAATAAAACACAGATGTGATTCTTGAAAAACAGGATAAATAATTTCTTATCTTGCATGCCCATAATATGGGAATCAATTTCTATGTATCCAGCTTTTTCATTATAGCACTAATGAAAACAATAATGAAAAATTGTCAGTGTGTGTTTCTTACAGGAGTTTAGTCTATATTCATTATCCCATCATTGCTATAATTATCAGGGGGAAAAAAGGTTTGTTTCCAAATACCCCCTCTTCCCAGGTGTACCTCAGAGGAGAAAATAATAGAAGATAGTATATTTGGAAACAAGCCATTTTCTTCCTGTTAATTATGGAACTGAAAATTTTATTTATTCCATTTATAACCTCCTACAGTCTAAGCAATTTTTGACAGTTAGTAATGAAATAATAAAATTTAAAGTGAATTATTAGAAACAGTCTACTCTCCATTAAATGGAAATCCCACATTTTAAAAACAAGTTTTAAGATACTGTAATTAGCAAATCTGGAAAACATATACTTAGTTTTTGTGCCTTGTTTTTTTTTTTTTTTTACCTTTGGTTTTAGCTACCTAAACTATTCAGTGCTATGTAATAAAAGTAAATATGCTACTGGCTGTGTTTAAATTAGCTTTTAGAAATTTGTTCAAATAATTTGTAAATCACATGTTATTTGCTTTGAAGGAGGAAAGCTGTGTTAGTCTGTGGTGGCAAAAAATCAGACTCTAGTAGCTCCTTTTCCAACTAACACTTTTATTAAAAGGCATAAGGTTTCATGAGCTGCAGTTCCCTTCATCACATACATAGAGTGGCTAGAGTGAAGTAGGATGTAAATTGGGGTGAGGGGGATTGAAAGGAAGGGAAGACAGGTGGGTTATCAGATTACATGTGAGCCATATTACAAGTACCTTACCAGTTATCAGTTGTAATGTGTCAAAAACCCTTTGCATTTGTTGACACCTTCTGAGATTGCCTGAAAGATTTTGATGTGAGTTCAGTAATTTCTCAGTGTTGGTGTTAAAGTCTCATTCTTTCAAAACAGATACTTTATGGTCTGCAGTAGAGTGTTCTGGGAGGTTGAAATGCTCTAATATTATTTTTGTCCTTGTTTTGTGTCCTGATGTCAAGTTTGTGTCCATTAATTTGGTTGGGCAAAGTTTGTCCCATTTTTCCTATATAGAATCCAAAGGGGCATTTGCTGGTGGGTGATGGCATATATCACATTGGAGGAAGAGTGTATGAAGGGACCCCTAATTTTCTGTGTGTACCTGTTGGGGCCTGTGATGATGTTGTTGGTGTAGGTGTTGGGGTAAAGTAGACATCTAGGTTTCTTGCGGGTGTGGTTTGTGTTATTTGCTCTTACACTTCTAGGATGCTAGAAGCTTCATACTACAACACTGTGTCATCTAAAAATGATATATGTTCTGATGAAAGAATAGATCTAATTTTAGCTGCTGTAGTGGTTCCTCTTTTCATTCTTTTTTTTGGCCAACGGACTCAGTTTTGCATTCTGAATGAACAAATACTCTTGATGCTACCATCCCAGATGAAATGCAATGTAGTTGGTGTATTCTTGCTAATTAATATTGAAAGTAAATCCCTTTTGCTTCTCCCCTTTCACACAGTATGGAAAATAATAATTTTTAATTGTGAGAGTATTAATGAAATAAAAAGCAAATGTGGGGGGGGGGTGTTCTCTGTAAATATGTAACAGGTCTGTTGGTCATGTCTGGGATCTGCAGATTAATTTAGCTGTAAATAGTTCACAGCCATTATGCACTCAGCGGATAAAGTGTTCTGCTTCAGTCAGTGTCCAAATAGTAGATCATGTTTCATGTAAGCTGTATTGCAAAGACTTAAGCCAATCCATATGGACCTGAAGGGCAGCAATGTCATTAATTAATTGTACGGGTATAGCCAACTAGCCTTAAAGGAAGGAAGGAAGGAAGCAAGGAAGGAAGGAAGGAAGGAAGGAAGGAAGGAAGGAGGAAAGAAGGAAAGAAGGAAAGAAGGAAAGAAGGAAAGAAGGAAAGAAAGAAAATCATTGTCAGCTTCTTCAGCAATTCCTATTTTTAGGTTGCAGGCTGATGTTTACTGAAACTTTCAGCGCTAATTTGGTGATTTTGCTATGGCGGTTGTTGTGTAACATATACAAGATAATTAAAGGGATTTTTATGTCTTAACCAAGCCACAATGGGTACAGTCTTGCCATAATTTAGGAAAAAAATGATTTTTTAAACATTTGGTGTCCTAAAATTGTTATCTTAAATGACCATTTATTAATGGATTGTATGTGTAGTACAATATTATAGTGTTTCCTTATATCTCTCAGTTTTGTTGGAAACTGTGAAATTGACCTGGAAATCAAGAGATACTTCTGTAGAGCTGGTGTGAAGAGTATACAGGTGAGTTTCATTTTTTCCTGTCTATTATACCTTATTAGCAGTACAAATTTCCATAAATACATCTTCAGTCCTCAGCTACAACTGAAATGGTATAGTTTTATTCTGTTTGACATAATTCTAGTTAGATCTATTAAGAGACTTCTTCATAATATATAACTCTTCTCAATACTGTATCTTCAATTCATGGTTAGTGCTGTGTGTGTGTACCTTTGAGTCAGTTTTTGACTCTTGGTGACTGTATGGACTAAGCCCTGCAGTTTTTTTGGAAAGATTTTGGAAGTGGTTGGCCACTGTCTGGTTACTAGAGCTGAGAGAGAGTGACTGGTCCAAGGTCACCCAGCTGACTTTGTGCCTAAGGCAGGACTAGAATTCACCGTCTCCTGGTTTCTAGCCTGATGCCTTAATCACTACACCAAACTGGCTTAGTGCTTTGACCATGGCTGTTTTTTTTTTTTAGATTCATGGGACAATGAGAGTTATATTGGAACCTCTGCTTGGTGATATGCCCTTAATTGGAGCACTATCTTTATTTTTCCTTAGGAAACCAGTAAGTAGAAAATTCTAGATTTCTTTTTTCTTTATAACTGTTGTAGCATAACACTGTAAACTAAAATTTCTAAGAGCTATTGGTAATTGACAAGTCCTTGGCTCCTCTTATAATCAGCAACAATGATATTGCATCCAAAGCTAGAAATATGGCTTGTACCTCCCTCAGTAGTTTGTAAGCCAGGGTTTGTAAATTATTTCTGGAGTCTAGGCTCAAAGCAGTGCAAAACCTTTAAATATAAATTAACATGTTTGCTCAGGACTAATAAATCAGAGTTCTGTTAGAATATCTGTTAGACAACTGTCATATTGAGCAAGCTTCATAATTGTCATGGCAGCTATGATGTCTGGAGCCAGAAGACTTAAGAACAGCCCCCTATGAATATTGTAGTTTTCCAGGATCATGGTCCTAGGTTTTTTCAAAACCATTAAAATGAAGCTAATGTTTATAATTTGCAATAAAGTAATACAATACTCTAAAATATTTAATAGAATAGAATTCTTATCTGTCCTTCCTCCAGAATGACAGTTTGAAGCAGAAGTTTTATTACAGCCATTTTCTATCACTTGGAGCTTCAGTGGCTACAGCAAGAAAACATTTTCTGTACTATTTTGTCCAGAGGGAGAAAAGTTGGGTTAGTTGGCATCTAGTAACGTTTTTTTCTTCTCATATTTTCCAGGCCAAAGTAACAGTTGGCAATAATTCAGTGTACTCTTTAGTCAGTGTCTGTTGCTGGCTTTGATGACTATATATGGTAGCACTGCCTAAATTAATAGTTCTGAACATACTTGTCTAATGAATTTGCTTATGTCTTCTGTGGTTTGTAAGCCAAAGATTTTGTCAGACATCTCCTGCCTTGTATTTCCTATAAAATCAGTCACTGTGGTAAAGTAACAGAAGATGGTGTGAATGACTGTTAGATGCTTATTAAAATATCTTTAGCAAATACAAAGTGAGTTAGAAAACAGTCATCACATTTTTCTTATAACTTTTCTTCCACTAAAGGTTTTACAGACTGTACATATCTGTGTTTTGCTTAAGCTATTAGATTTCTACAGTTCTATATTTAGTTCACATTGGTAAATTAACTTGCTTTTTGCAAGCTGCAAATTCTCTTTCAGGCTTAAGCTAATTTGAGTGTATAAAGAACAGAACAGGCCTTCATTGTGGAAACAATTGAACCTTTGCAAGTTATTCATGTTCAAGGCCTTTGGCCAGAAGTCCCTGGTGTAGAACTTGTAGATGCCAGTGGGCCCACTGATCCTTTCATTGGCACCTATCATACACCTTGCCTCTATCTGTTTATATTTTTTTAAAAAAACCTTTTAATTAAAAAAAAAAGCAAGCTGGCATGCTGTAAAGCAGAGTGCCAGCCATCAATATCATCTTTGTTGTCAAGACTGCCTCTGAGTCTCAGATGCATCTCATATTTCTTAGTACATAAAAATGCTGAGTAGTTATATTGTGTGTGTGTGTGTGTGTGTGTGTTTATGTCTGTTTATTGGAAGTGTGCCCATCTTGCTCAGAAAAAAGACTAAGATAAGTGGGTAGTAGAGAATATCCCCTGGGAGTAGTTGAAACCATTCCTTAGTGCTTTTTAATTAGGTATATCTCCCATGACAGCCATTTTGTTAATGGGGAAGCCCTTCCTGCAGCTATTTTGCAAGATTATTCACAACATCATCTCAAAATTCTACAGTAAATGGGCCTACCAGCTGAAAAAGGGTAAGTCCTGACTTATGCCTAAATTCCTCAAACAGATTGAAGGCATAAAACTACATCTGATCTGTATGATTTCAGATTACCAGTGGAACTTCATATAAGTCACTGTTTTAGTGCATATAAATATTCTCTGCACATAGAAAACTGACAAGTCAGTTAGCAGATTAGATTAGATTAAAACCCATCTCCTTGGTATGTAACTTTCTCTACTTGGTCTATGAGATACAGTATTTGCTGTATGAAACGTATAGTCCAGACATTGATTTTACAGTTAGTAGACTGTTTATGAGAACGAGTCTGCAACGATACACACTTTTCCTAATTAACAAATACTTGCTTGGGGTAATTTACTGTCACTGTCTAAATTTAAATTCTTCAGTTGGAGAAAGTCAGTGAACTGCAGTTTGGATCACTGACATGATAAGTTTCCGTGCCCAGGAAAAAGGGAACATTTATTGCTGTCTTTGATGGGTGACGTTGCATATCTGCAGCCTGGAAATCAGTAAAAAGCATAGCTTCTGTAAGGGAAAACTAAGGAGGAGTCAACACATGCCATTATCAGAGAAAGATCTTAGGGTAACACAGAGATGCATTAAGCTGAACAAGAGACACAATTAATTTGTTCATCCATATTTATACTGTACAGTATCTAAATTGCATCTGAAGAAAGTTCTAAAATCTCCTTGTATTAATGTGTACTGGAAAAGAAAATAACCATCAAGTAGCTTATGTTATTGTTCTATATCATATATAGCGTGGAGATGGCTAGCCCCATAGAGGCCTGCTGTCTTCAGCCCCAGATCCTTCATCTTCTTGGACTCTCTTTCTCTTTTTTAGTAATGTTTTTAAATTTTTATGTTTCATGTATTTATATGTATTTATGGTTTTAATGCTTTGTGTGAACTGCCCAGAGTCCCCCTACTATGTACTGTGACAATAATAGAGAATTACAGGCCTCTCTCATCTTTTTACTTCTTGGACTCTCTTTCTCTTTTTTAGTAATGTTTTTAAATTTTTATGTTTCATGTATTTATATGTATTTATGGTTTTAATGCTTTGTGTGAACTGCCCAGAGTCCCCCATTGGGGGGAGATGGGCGGGGAGAAATTTAATAAATAAAATAAAAATAAAAATATCTTTATCATAGATTTATATATAAAATTGACCATCGTGCACAAATACAGAAGTCAACATTGGCCATTATGCTGTAAATTCTGCACCATGATTTTCTGCATTAATAACGCAGCACAGGGTGAATGAATTTGTTTGTCTAAAGCAATCTTCTCCAGCCTGATGTGCATGGACTACAGTTCACGCAGTTCTTAGCATAGCCAGATCTACTGCTGCTTTGGTGAATACAGTAGATGAAACGTGATTGAGAACTTATTACTCATAATTTTAAAGGAGTCACTGCCTAGTCTCAAAGCACTGAAGATTACCCTACTTATATATTTTAAAAAATCATTTATGAATATTAAATACCACATACATCAAGGTATCTCCTGGGGGATGGAAGTGGAAGAAGCCCTGGTATGATTAGCTGTAGTAACTAAAGATTTATTTTTCCAAACATGATCCTGGAGTTTTATTTGTGTTCAGATTGCTTGCCTCATATATAGTCATACTGTTCCAGCTTATAGATTTTGTTGTTGTTTGATAAAAAATTAACACATTTATGGCATACCAGCTTTACAGGGAAGCATCCATGGAGTTCTTTGTAGGACTGGAAATGTGGCATGTCTAGGAAGGATAAAAACCTATATGCATTCCAGTAATTGTTAAAACCAGCATTTGAAGAAGGCTATAAAAAGCGATAATCAGAAACAAAATTTAGAAATTTGCTGGAAACAAATTTTTTAATTTATGTTTTTAATCCCACCTTTATTATTTTTATAAATAACTCAAGATGGTGAACATACTAATACAGGTAGTCCTTGTTTAACCGTTCATTTAATGATGGTTCAAAATTATGGCCTCGGAAAAAGTGCTTTATGACCTGTACTCGCACTTATGACCATTGCAAACTGTTGCACCACCCACTGCAGTCATGTGATCGCAATTTATGACCTTTTTTACGATGGCCGTTAAGCAAATCACTGGTTGTTAAGCAAATCACATGGTCATTAAGCGAATTCCAGTAAAATCGCCCATTGGGGAAGCTGGATTCACTTAATAACCATGTGATTGGCTTAACAACTGTGGTGATTTGCTTAACAAACATCATAAAATGGTCGTAAAATCAGGTCTGATCACATGGTGATTTGTTTAATGATTGTCCTACTTAATGACCAATTTTCCAGTCCCTATTATGGTTGTTAAGCAAGGGCTACCTGTATTCCTTCCTCCTCCTGTTTTCCCCACAACAACAACCCTGTGAAGTGAGTTGGGCTGAGAGAGTGTGACTGGCCCAAAGTTACCTAGCTTTTATGCCTAAGCTGGGACTAGAACTCTCCTGGATTCTAGCTTGGAGCCTTAACCTTGGATTCTAGCCTGGATTCTAGCCAGCTTTTGTGCCTAAGCTGGGACTCGAACTCTCCTGGATTCTACCCTGTAGCCTTAACCACTAGACCAAACTGGCATTTTCTTGACTACCACAGTTTTGTTGATAGTTGTTTGGGTTTAGATGTATGTGGAGAGTCCACTATGGAACAAGTGTTGAATACATTGAATTTAAGAGTTTCCTTCCTAAAAGAAATTTTCTTTCATTGCTTTTAATTTATCATATTCTAGACGGTCATAAACTGAGATCCTGTGACTCAGTCTAATTCTGATAAAAACACTAAACATTATTTTAAAGCATTCCAATCTTTGCCAACCTCCAAATATGTGAATTTTAACTTCTAGAATTCCCTGGGCTGCATATGGTCATTGCTGATAATTCTGGAACTTGAAGTTCAGATTTCTGGAAGTTGCAAAGGCTGGACAGCATTGCTTTAACACATCACTAAACTGGTTAGGGTTTTAGGAATATTGTTTCTAACCAATCATTGGTGCATAAAGAGTTAAACACATGGTTTCCTCAGTTTTAGAATTTTAGCTGAAATTCTTCTATCAGCATATGCTGCTTCTTAAGCTGCAGGAGCTCTGAACAACATTTTAATACTGTTTTCCATATCTTTCCAGCTTTTGGAAATTAACTGGACAGGATTGACCAATCTTTTGGATATTCCAGGACTAAAGTAAGCTGAAAATTGAATGAATTTATTTCTATAGATATGTGTAACTTAGTGTGCATGTGTGTTCATCAGAATTTTGCAAAAAGTTACATGTGTATCTTCCATCTGTTCTCTATTGAATTCTTTAGTGAGTTCTGGAAACATGCTATATATGGGTAGTCCTCAACTTATGACCATTTGTGCAGCGAACAGTTGAAGTTATGATAGTGCTGAACAATGGTGGTTACGACCAGTCCTTGGAGTTCCAGCCATCCCAGCATTACTGCGGTCACATGATTGTGATCTGGGTGCTTGGCAACCAGCTCACACTTACAACTGTTAGACTGTTAGACTGATCACCCTGTGATTACGATTGCCATTTGTGACCTTCCTTGCCAGCTTCCCCCGAAAGTCAGTGGGAAAGCCAGCAGGGAAGGTTGAAAGTTGCTGGGCTAAGTCTCCCTCACCCACATACCCTCCCCCAGCCCCTCTTCACTCTTTGCTTTGCACACCCCCTGGCACCCTCCCTGACCTCCACCCCCTCGCCATGCCTTCCTCATATCCCCCTCGCACTGTCCCTGAGCCTCGGATGCCTACCTCGCACCCTCGTGCACCCTCCCTGACCCCTGCTGCACCTCCCTCACACCTTCCTGCACCCTCCCCAACCCTTGCACACCCTCAGTGCACCTCACACAGCCTCCCCAACCCTTGCCGCACTTCTCTTGCACCCTCACTGTGCCTTCCTCACTGCACATCCCTCACACCCTCAAACACCCCTGTGCACCCTTGTGTACCCTCCCCAAGCCTCGCTGCTCCTCCCTCATGTACCTCCTTGTGCCCTCCCCCACTCGGCAGCAGCCGCTTACCTGCTGCTGGCCTGCTTGCAAGCTGCCTAGGACTTGCAACTTCCTGCCATCTTCCCCGCTGATTTGGTTGTGGGAAGCCGGCAGGAAGTTGCCTCACCTAACAACCATGGGATTCAGTTGACGACAACATCCAGGACTGCAGGGATTGCTGTCACTAACCAATGCAGTCACGCTTTACAATCGCATTGCTTAGCAGTGGAAATTCTGGTTCCAATTGCTGTCGTAAGTCGAAGACTACCTGTATAACAATTAGTTAAAGCCTGATAGCGTATTCTTTATTAGGACTATCTGTAAGACTCCCACTGTCAACAAAAAGGCAGCATCTCTTTGTTTCAGTAGGTGATATAGTTTATATGTTACCTGAATTAATCTTTAGATACCGCAGAAAACTGCTAAAATACCTGACATGAAAGTAGAGAGAAAAGACTTAGTGGAACTATTGTTTGTTGCCCACAGTTTAAAAGATATGAGATGAACCTACTCCCTTAGCACAGCATATGTTTGCCTGCCCTGCTTCCGGAAGATTAAAAGGCTGCTACTCCCTGTTTTCTATAGACACCAGTTCATATCAGTTGACTGATACGAACCTCTTCAAGTTCAAGGCATTTGATAATCTGTTCTGAAATGCAAATTGGCCGTCTCATTCTAACTGTTGTGCTGAAACGTGTGCCTCAGAGGTGGGGAGCACTGAAAGACTCACGGGTTGCAACCAGGCATTCCTACTTCTGAGGGCTGTATAATGTCCGGTGATATCACTGGAAGGGTAGGATCATTTTTGAGTTGGGAGTAGGGTGGAAAGGGGAGCAGGAAGCCTCCAGGAGACAAACTGCTCTCATCCCATCTCTTAAGACCCTCAAAAACAATCTACATCATAATAGAAATACATTATTTCCTCCAATAGAAGCAATTACATAAATTGAATGATATATAAGACTGCAGAAATATTAACACTTGGCGTGTGATGGTCAATTAGAAAAGTGTTATACTTGATTTTAACTTGGAACACAAATGAAACCCTACAGTTTGTAAAATGGTTAAGGGATGCAATATGTAGGGTTGTGAATGGCATTTTAAACTTGTTAAACATTTTACAAGCTACAGACTAATGGATAGGTTGGGTTTTAGTTTTAGACTGTTGAAAAATATGCATTGGGGAAATATATAATTATCAGTAACAAAACTGGAGTTCTATATTGCTCAGTTTTCTGGGTGAATCAGTAGCATCTGTTGTCATCTTTAATACTGTAACATGCAGAAAAAAACAATGTGTTTTTATGCATGAAAAGCTATTTTCATTCTAGCTGTCAAGCTATAGTTGGGTCATGCTTTCAAAGAAAAACAGTAAGTCATTCCAGCTTGCATTGCAGTCAGAACATTTCCAGACATCAAGTGGAAAATATTTGAGGTTAATTGATGGACTGTACACTCTGATACATACATTTCCTCTATCTTAATAACATATCTTAACAAAATCAGCTGCATTTAGCGATTGCAGTATGTTGCAGATATTTAATTAGATTGATATGTATCAGCTTCATCTTCTGCTTTTATCTGACCATCGACCAGCAGTGAGAATAAAAATACAGAAGCTTTTTTTTTTTTTTTATCTGCGCTCAGTCGTTACCGACTCTGCAGTGACTGGTTGGACGAGTCCCTGGCGTTTTCAAGGCGAGGTGCTTTGGAAGTGGTTTGCCAGAGCCCCCTTCCTAGCGCCGGCCCCACC